GGAAGTTTTTCGTAGAAGGAATCGGAAAGGATGTGTTGCCATCGTTGGAGCGACGACACTCGTGTTCTATCGAGCCTGTTTGTGAGAGTCCATCGCCGGTCGCACTTACGGAGGGACTGGAATCCAGATTTTCACCTGATTTAGTAGAAGAAAGTTTGTTTGCCCCGTCAGAGGTATGTACTCGTACTGTGTTCAGAACATTTTACAAAAGTTTCAAGTGCGTCATCGCGCACAGTTATGGAGCAGGTTTCCAGATTTTTTTACCATTCTAGATCTGTTGTATTTCTTCGGTGGATTACCCTTCTACGTAATTGTTACAGGACTCTGCTCCTAATGACAATTTTTGGATCGGTTTTGGGTTCAACCCTTGATTCCCCAACTCCCTGCCCCGACAATGTTGTGATCCCAAACGTACTCATTTCCTCCCATTTTGCTCCTTATTCAACATTGTTTGGGTTGAGGGGGAAAAGTACCCAGTTCCACTAATATCACTAGGAGGTCCCAACACTTTTCAGTGACCTCTAATGTAAGTGAAGTGGTAACCTGCAACCAGGCGTCATTTTTCTTTTCCTCTCTAATCCCCCCCGTTCCCCCACCCCGTCCCCCCTCCAAAAAAAGTGAAGAAGGAGCGTCTGATAGCAGGTTACCGTAGCAGCGTCACGACCAGCGGTTTTGGTTAGTTTTTATAGAGCGCCTGAGGGGAACACGCGAACGGAAGAGAAGTCTACTCAGGAAAGACAAGTTTAAAACTGAATAAATGAAACTGGATGGACTATTAACCTGCTTCAAATATTGTTTTCTTCTAGAACAAAGAGGAGACCCCATGGAATGGGCTTTTATCTTTGGCAGATATCGAGGAAGTTTTGAAACAGGTTAGTTTACATGTAAGAAGAATGAGGTATTTCTTCTCTAATTCACAAAAGCTAAATGAGGATCCGACCCCCCTCTGATTGGCTAGTGATACACGTGCAAAATCTTTTCATTTATCGGACTAGTTCTACATACAATAGCTAAGGTTACACTCTATGTATTTGTTTTTTTCAAATTCGACTTCAACAGTTTATTGGCGTATTTCTTCAATGAGGGCGATGAAATAACTCTTGTACGCAGTCGCTTCTGTTCTTGTCTGCTCTGTGATTGATAGGAAGGTTTTAGCGAGTTCGCGTTGCATCAGGGGAAGGACCTACGTCTCCTTCCTTTTCCAGCGCCTTTGCGCGTATTAGTACCTTCTCCTTTGCGACGATACGAAGCAACTTTCTTTCTGATTTACCGTTATCATTATTTTGAAAGTGAGGGTTTTTGTTCACAAGTTAACGCATGGTTGAGCAGCTCACTTTGTTTTAAGAGAGAAGGTTAGATCAGCAACTCGAAAATGAGTCATTAAGCTTGTTCTGTGATATGATAATGATCCATGTGTTATGTATACATTATCAATTCTGCAAGAGAAGAGTTCACATTATACTAGATAGCTTTTGGTGCCGACAAGAAAAACTGTCTGGTATAGTATGAGCAACAACGGCACAGAACTGGAACAAGTCGCCCGATCGAAAATCGTGCCAAAGCGGCTGGCCGAGATGGTTCGGTGAACTTACTTCCGTATTAGCGTATTCCAGTCCTTGCCCCTTCTTATTCACTTCCGCTACGTTCCGAACACTTAAGTGTGGTTCAGAACCTATCCGATATGTTATGATCCACTTTCAAGATCTGCGCGGCGCATCTTCCCTTCGATACAGAAATCACGCCAAAATCAGCGTTCCTATGTGTGAAGGGAATCCCTATCAAGTTTGAAGAGCTATCTGTTATTGGCGAATATTAATCCTTGTTTACATTTTTTGCCTCATAAGCATAGGATTATCATTATCTGATGAAGCCAATAAAATGAAATTTCTGATCTAGCCGCCGTTGTGTAGGTTTTCAATGCCGGCGCTTTTCGCTACTAGTGGACTATAACATATAGCATTGTATTAGCTCAACGAATCAGAACGCAGCGTTGATAATAGACCACTAGTTGAATTTTTCTAATTGTTGATAAGTTGTATCTCTTTGAATTGAAAAGGATAAATCTTCCGAGGTTGAGTTGGAGAAAAGGATTCCGTCCCTGGTGGCTCCCTCATCGGAGGAGTGTATATGGATAAAAAATACGCATATCCGGATAACAGTGGGTGATTTAATACAACAAACTACCGACGCTGTGCTGATTTTGAATAACGAGAGACTGTGTTTAAACAGCGGCGGTGTATTGAATGCTCAGATTGCTCGCTTTGCGGGTGCTGGCCTTAAAGAAGAATGCAAACGAATCATTGAGAGAAGTGGCCCTCAACTTCCGGGCGAGGCGGTCATAACAGGATCTGGAAACCTCCCTTACAAACACCTTGTTCACGTGATCAACTATCCAGGCTCGCCTCAGATCCTCGACCTACAGCTGAGTGTCAAGCGTGGCCTTCAGCTCGCCGACGGCCATGGACTCAGTTCCATTGCTTTGCCGGCTATCGGCGCGGGGAGTATGGGGCTTTCTTTTCAAGAGTCGGCACGGGTACTGTCCGGAGGTATCCTAAGCTTTTTAGAACGCCCTCCCCAGTTTCTTCGTGAGATCAAAATCAGTCTCTTTTTGGAGAGCATGTTGTGGACCTATTCCCAAGAAATAAAGACACAATTTGTTCCTTTCATAAATCTGGAAGAGTATTCCCCTCTGTCTTCGTTTGTTCAGGGCCAAGACCCCATTCCGACGATACTTCAATACTCAAATCCGCCTCCTTCACTTGAAAACTCACTTGATAACAGGAACCCCAAGGCGCTTGTTTCGACGACGGAATTTCGTGTTTATGGCAAAGACAAAAAGAACATCATGGCAACCATTAATAGCTTGCGAACGGTTTATGCCAAACACCGTGCTGCCCAAAGGGTAAGCCACAAGTTGGTGCCACAGGTTATCCAATATTGTTGGCCATTGCTCAGTACTCTTGCGTCGCAATATGGTGCAGACTTAATAACCGAGGATAGCAATAGTTCTACTATCACTGTATGCGGCAACTCGGAGGACGTGTCTTTTGTTGTAAGCCGCATTTGGGAGGAAATTACACGGCTCGCGGAGCAGCAAAATGACATTGAAAAGCGCAAGCTCTTGGCTCATTACGTTCGCTGGCATTATATAATTCTAGACAAAGAGATTGGTTTTAACGACGAGCTCAGCGCTATCATCGAAGATGCCAGGAATCGAAAATGCGAAGGAGTAAATCTTCTCGTCAACGATTGCGAGTACAGAGTAGATTTTAATTCTATGACCGTGTTGTACAGCCAGAGCAATTATCCACCGCTTCCTTTGTGTCGAAGAACAAGTGCGGAAGCTGGTAGGTCAGATAGATAGATAGATAGAAAACTTTATTACTGTGTAGGGGCCGTATAGCTTGGGAAAAACCCCATACTAATTTGGGGACACAATTTATAATTGGAATTACGTATACAAAATAGATTATCAACTTCGAATTTGCTGTTCGCCATTCACCACTTTAGAAACAGAAGGAGAAATGACCCGAGTTAACGTTCCCTAAGGACTCCTGGGAATGTTTCAGGGGACCAATAGCTGACCGGCGCGTCCCCAGTTACGATCCCAGAACAAATTGCGGGACGCATTTCGGCTCCAGTTCCCTTTTTGTTTCTAAGGTGGCGAATATGATCACCACCATCCGAGCAAAAAATTGGGCCGAGTTAACTTTCGCAAAGACATCTGGGACTGTTATTAGAGACAGAGAAAGAAACTGGCCAATAGCTGACCGCGCTCACCTTTTGCATTCACGCGCGAACTTTCAAGGCTGCCTCTATTTTATGTACGCGCATACGCACGTAAAAATTACGCGACAGTGGACGTTTTAATACAACTATAGCGTTTCTTTCGTTTTCTCCTTTCCCAGCGGATTCCATCCCTCATTTCTGGGCACCTCAACCGCGTTTAATCGACGGCGCTCCAGCTCGTGTTGCCATGGTAAATATCTTACCAGGGAATCCAGAGTACCAACACGTGGCCAGTATGTTTTATAGCACAGGAGGGAATGGTAGCATAGTAACCATAGAGCGAGTGCAGAATCTGCCCCTTTATAAGCAGTACACGATGCACAGACAAGAGGTGGAGAATACAAATTGCAGGTCGGGACTTAAGAACCACAATGAACGGCAATTGTTTCATGGTACGAAAGGATGCAATGTAAGGGCCATCAACTTACAAGGATTCAATAGAAGCTTTTGCGGAAGGAATGGTTAGTCGACTATGTACTTTTGTTCTTGTTTTTTTTTAAACCTTTCTCTCTTTCCTTAAAATGGCAAATTAAAAGTAAAAAATTACACAAAACTTCCAAATTTCATTTTGTAATGCTTACAAAAAATTACCATGAGAAAGTGCTGTGAAAGATTTGCTTCAATCAATTAGAAGCACGACATAGATCTAGGGTCTGTGCTCAGACCTCATTTCGCGGTGAAACCAATGATGGCGTCGGGAAATGTGGGCTCTTTTTTCTGTCCCCCACCCACCCCTTCTGAATTTTCTGGATCAGCCCCTGTAGCCTGCGAAAACATCTGTTTCTCCTCGCTCTTCGTGTCACGTTCCTCCGCACGAAACGTCCCCAGCGACGAAGAGCGAAGAGAAACGGATGTTTTCGCAGGCTACAGCCCCTGAGAAAGTTACTGGTCACTAAGTCTTCCGGCAAGACTGGGTAGGCGCGGTTGTACGGGAGCTGTTGGGGGACGCTCTCACCTCTTTGCGCATAAGTCTCATAGTGCAATTCGCCGAAGACAAACTCAATGGTAGCCTGCGTTGCAGCAGGCCCACGCACTTGTCTAAACCATTTGTATAGTCTGTTCAGAAGGTTTAGAGCGTCCGCGACGCAGGCAAACTCAGTGGCCAATGTTTGGTGCTGAGGAGGTCTAGACTGAGAGAGAATCAAAGGGAAAATGCAGTGAACTCTCCCGTAAGCGAGAAAAGCTTAAAATATCTGAGAAGTGGTCGATTGCAAGAGAGTTTGTGAAACAATATTTCACTGAGAAACAAAACGGTTATTTATAAAGTGGTCGCTGTGAGAGAGTTGACTGCATCTGAAAATCGAGAGAGGGAAATAAGAATTGAAACAGCTGCGCTTTTTAGTTTTCTTTTTGTCTTTCCCTCGGCTATGACAATTATTGCTTTCTTGGTCCTTTGTCCCAATTTAGCGTCTTGTAACAGTAACACAGATTTCCCTGCGACTAGTTTCACGCTGCAAATATCGGAAATGACAACAGGAAAAATTACTCCATCTTAATTCCAAACCAATTCTTCTTTGTTTCAGGAGTGGCTTATGGAAACGGCGTTTACTTCGCTGCAAACGCCGCGTATTCGATGGGTTACACAGCGCCTGACAATAACAAGCTGAGGCACATGTATTTGGCCCGTGTTGTTGTGGGGTTCTACGTGGAGGGCCGTAAGGGCCTTCTAGTACCTCCTCCGCTGCGCCCCGAGGTCCCCGAGGTCCTGTTTGATTCAGTTGTGGACTGTATGAGTAATCCAAGAATATTCGTTGTATTCAAGGATTCTCAATGCTATCCCGAATATTTGATTACATTTACATAACTTAGAAATAGTTCAACACCAGTCTAGCATAACTCCAGACTGCAGTGTAGGCGTATTTTCGGCGGGCGAGCAGCTGAAAACGCCTGCATTGCAGGCTAGGATCGGATAACACAATTCCTTCGCGTTACGCGTACGGTAACTGTCACAAAATTTGTGTGTGGCCTCTATCTTCTGCAGAGGTACATTCACAAGGGAAAGAGCAGTGGAAAAATCGAGAATAAGGGCATAAGAGACTTTTAGCATCAGTTTTTCATGGAAAACCGCAAACCTGTGAATGTCACGTGACCACGCTCTTGGATAGCGTATGATGCAGTGTGCAGTTCATGCCCAGCGGTAACTGACTTATGGTAACTAACTTATGGCAACTGACTTATGGCAAGGGAAAATTAAATGAAAAAAAATTCATGCACGCCAATTAATCCTAAAAAATATTCATGCTATGGCCTAAAAAAATTCATACAAGGAATTTGATAACGAAAAAAAATTCCTGCGGCTCGAAAATTCCCCTCCTGAGCCTCACGTTTAAGGGCACGAAATAGCGGTCTTTATCCGGCTGTGCTGTGCTAGTTCGATTTTTAAACTCGAATAAATGAGTTACCCCTGTTTTTTCTTTAGCGATAAAAGTGATGCAGTTTGACTTGAAGAAAACAACATGGCGGCACAAAACAATGAACACCTTGCTAAAATTTGAATCCCAGCAACGTGAAACTGCAGTTTGCGAATTCCAATGAAAAACCTAATGCTAAAGGTCTCTAATGCCTTTATTCTCGTCTGATTTTTTCACTGCTCTTTCCCTTGTGAATGTTCCTCTGCAGAAGATAGAGGCCACACCCAAGTTTTGTGACAGTTACCGTTACCGTGTATTGCACGAGATCAAGTTCCTCACGAGCTTGACTGTCGTGAGAGGTCCATCATCCTTTGTTAGCAAGTGCGTTAGGTAACGTGAAAAAAGCCATTGGTCGAGGTACTTGAATTTTGGTTAGTTTTACCATACACCGTTTGAGCAGTACTTCTGAATAAAGAGTCGTTGTGTTGGCTTGCTGTAATGTTCCAGTAACCAGTGCCTTGCAAAGAAAATGTTTGGTGTGATTGTTGGACCGTTTGGTTACTTTTTCCAAGCACTGAATGAAACGTGAGAGTTATAAAGAGAATAAATCACCGTTATTAGTTTTTTAGAATGGTTCTTAGAGTTTAAAATGCAACCTTAAGTCATCAAACGCGCCGAAACGCATATCGAAAGCTCGAAATTCAAGGATGCTTATTAGTGTCACCTGACCACTGTGTGTGTGTACTTTTCTGAACTTCCCAAGCTCCTGTGTAAATAAACGTTATGTACTTTTTTCATAAAAATATTTCCTTGTGTAAATATATTGACAAGAACTATGCGATGAATACAGCTTATTACTCACTTCCAGGGGATAAAATAGGCCAGCCATACCACAGACACTATATACAACACGTTTTATTGGCAATTTACAGTCAAGTTAAATTAAATTTTTTAAGGAACAGTATACTGCAAGTGAAGAACATTACTTGTTCTCATACAGTACCACAGAAATCATTGCTATCAGAAAACATTAATAACTGATATTAACACCATAATGTATGTACAAATAACTGCTTGAATGTTTTGACAAATCTACAGAATGTAAAATTTTTATTTAAAATGAAATAAACATTGATTTCATTAGTACCTTTACCTGGAACCATTTCTTATTTTATTTTATAGTACTTGTTAAAAAATTTAATGCACATATTAAAAGACATTTTTTCCACCTTCTTATGCACTTCTTGAACACTGATTAGGTTACATTTCTGTGCTAAGTTTCGTATACATACAACAGTCAAATTAGGTCAAGCATACCCATATAGATTCTATTATTTTTTTATTATTTGAACATGGACTATTAGTTGTTCCTGTTTGTCAGACTCATTTTTGTATTCCTACATTCATAATGGTAACGGAATTCACACACAGAGTAGTTTATAACATTTTCGCTGGTTCAGTGGTCTTGAATTTGTGGGAAAATGTCTTGGTATGAATTTTACATTTTAAAGTCTAAGCGATTTTCAGTCTGTTTGAATGTTGAGAAGTTGAAGCCTTGAAATTCACATGCATTCACATTGTGTTCAATTTTCAAATAACTAATAGAATCCATGGAGGAAAACTTGACTTGTTTTCACTATTATTGTGTCTTTTGATTAAGTGTTCGATACTGCTACCAATTTGCTACGGAAAGCTGTACATGCTTGTGAATAAAAAGAGGAATTGAATACATTATTGGATTAGAGTCACTTGGGGACTTATTTCACATACCTCATATCTCATAGTCCTATCTAATGTAATAATCAAGCTGTTTTGTAACCATGACTCGAAAAACAGATAAATAAATGTTCATTTTTCCTAGTATTCCTATCATTGCAACCTATAATCATCAACGATGCATGAAATTATAGTTGATTTATGATGAGCCACTTAGCTTGAAAGTAGGTTTAACTTAGAATTTTGCCCAACTGACTTGACCTAGTAAGGGAAATACATGTAAGTGAATCTAGTTCCAGAAAAAGCAGAATGAATTCGAAATTGATTCCCTCAATTTTCTCACCCTAATCGCCAAACTCCAGAGTCATTCAGCATTCAACCTCTGCTATTTGTTTTACAGAATTAAGTGAGTAGAGGTTTGGGGTTTAAGAGCTAAGTACCTTCCTCAACGTCCATCTCACTATCTGAAGAGAATGGAGAATCCCGCATGACAGTGTCAGCATTCTCTTCTGAAATCTCCAAAGCCTGCATACATGTTGTTTTCTTTGAACGAAGTCTTGATTTAATGTCATCAAGTCTTTCCTTAATCCCATTTATTTCCAAAGTGAAGCCATTTTCTTCTGCAAGATGTAGAGCGTGAACGACACTCATTTCTGCATCCAGCAAGTTGTTCTGCCTCCAATGCAAGTCAGCTTTCGCCACACGAAATTGTATCAACTGTGCCTGACTCATTTCATCCTTGTATCTCTCCTCAACAGTTTTAAGGCAATTCTTTCCTTCTCCAATACACTCGATTCTAATTTCTTGCCTACGAGCAGTTTCCGTGCGACAGTTCAAGGCCATTAAGGCGAGCTTTAGAAGGCCAAAATGGTGTTTTTTTAGGTAAACTTTGCAGCCATCAAGATCAGCAGAGAGACTGATGCATTTCTTCATGTAGTTTCTTGCAAGAGACACACGTTTCTCGCGGCCACCCGCTGTCATCGAAAGAGTAGAGATTATCTTTGTCTGATTACTCGCCATTTCATAAAGAATAAGCGCCTTTAAATAACGTGACTTCAAGTTTCGGCTATTTTGCTCAGCTATGGCGATAGAACTTTCTGCTTTTTCAAGCTCGTTCTGTCGCCGATAGAATCCACAAAGATGTACATGAATCATGGATACAAGGAAGTGGTAATGAGTTGCAGCTGTCACTTTCGTTTCAGTGTTGACGTTCTTTAGCACTTCTAGAAGCATCGTTTCGGCTTCCTCCAAATCGCTTTGATAACTGACTATCACACTCTTCTCCATTAATAACAGCATTTCTAACTCACGATCGCCTCTGTTTGCAATCTTAAGAATAGCACTTTCACTGTCAAATTTATTCCAGCTCCCTTCATCTCGCAAAGGATGTAATTTGTTCAAAATTGGGAAGAACTTGTCGAGAGATTCTGTATCCTTCCATTCGGCGTCTCCCAAATCTAACGAAGAGATGTCTGGCAGATATGAGGGTATAGTTTCCTCTTCACTCTCACTAGATGCCTTTCTAGGATCCGGAACTTTCGTTGGGAAAATCGAATTTTGCTTTGCCGTTTGATTTTTGTGTCACGATGCCTACCGCCGCCATCTGCGATCGCCAACGTTCTAGCCGATCGACGATGTCTTGACCTATCATCAGGAAAATGAAGACGTCTTCTGATATCGATGATATTAAGGTTATAAATGTTAATGGTATTGCCCTTTCCAATAACCAAGGATCCTGGAACGTTGGAATCAGTTACATTTACGTTAAATACGTCGCCTTCTGGACTGCCCGCCATTTTGCAGTTGGGGCTCGGCTGGCGGCGGGAATCGATTTTGTTGCTAATTTTGTCGTCGTGCTTCCGTGAGCTCAATGTTTATGAGCCTGCGCTGTAGAGAGAGTGGACTGCGGCTTCTTTCAAAGCCATTCTCGTCCCCAGAGCCCGTCGTTTCTTTTGGTCAAATTAAGCCGAGTGGTTCTGGGGAAGTGAAAGTCTGTTTTCCCTTGATCTTTTCTTAAGAGATAGCGCGTATGAAAATAATATGTTATTGACCGCTAGCGAAAAGGGGTGGGGGTGGGGATGAGAAATTCTTTCTTTTCTTTCTAACTCTCGCCCGCTCGCCAAATTCGTCGATAAAACAACAAAAGAAAATAAAACAAACAAACAAACGACAACAACAAAAGCAAAATAACCAAAAAAAACCGTCTGTGGACAGGACACACCATCTCTGACCGCCCGCGTGCGCCTTCCCCAGGCCTACGTCACTTAGTGTCTTTTCCCAAGGCGCTTCGAAGTACATGTAATATAGGCACGAATACGAACTGGGCGCGCCAGGGGATAGGCAATGGGGATGGATTCTGCAGATCTCTCTCACCACCCGCGCTGGGTCTTTTCTTGCGCCCATTTTACTTCCAAGCGTCTGCTACCCACGCTAGGAATAAGAACTGAGTGACAGAAGCGGGCGAACTTCCATTCGCTGCCTCTATTTCATTTACGCACTTAAAATAACGCGAAAATGGAAATCCACCTCATAATTAAGAAGCGCAGCTATCTCTTTTATTTTTCTGTGCAAAGAGATAAATTAAGACGATTCGGGAGACGTTACCCTGCAATGCGGGCGTATATTTGGGGCGAGTAAAAGATCTTTGTTTATGATCGTTCGTTTTACGCTGTAACCACTAACTCTTAGGAAGAGTAGAAAGAGCAGTCGTCGAGGAAGTCGCCAGGGCAAAAGAGGGAGACAAGGGAGAGCGAATGGCCCGATGACTTCTCCGCGCTTTTTCAGTTTAAAATGGCCGTCAAAACACGGCAATTAGGCGAACAAAAACACTCGCGCACCCAACAAAAACGCAAGGCAAGGCTGGGAGGATTTCCTTATGGTGGGCGTTAAGTAATTCTTGCCCGAATGTCCGGAATGGAGTCACAAGCCCTACGAAGCCATTCTCTGATCTTTGTCTGGTCACGGAAAACTTCTCCCAAAAGAAGACGAGGAGCGGTAGAATAAAAGACGAATCGCTATTTATTCATTTATGTATTTAACCATTTATTATAAGCAGTATTGAATACTTATCGTTTGTAAGGGCTTAAGGCCCATTTTCCTTGTTTTCGTGTTTCTTAAATTTTTATAAGGTTAAGTTACACGCGCCAAATGAAAGGATGTTCCTTTTAAATATTTAAGTTAAAAATTTGTTCACTTTCAGCATTCTGGAGGAGCGATAACTAAAACGTAAGATAAAAGTAACTTACAAAGAGAGTCAAATTCAGAGTAAAATTTTTTAAAAAAATGTTTTTTAAGGGGACTGTCATAAATATCAGTTTTGACCACTCGATCTTACGAGACCATGATCATAGTTCAATTCTTTCTCACTGTTTTAAGAAAAGTGCTATTAGAGTAAAGAAATAGCACTGGAAGAAAACTTTCGCTTTCCTGCCATGTCTTAGAAACTGTACAGATAACCTGTTTAAAACATGCTAAACAACAGGCTAAAGCATAAACCGGACGCGACATAACAGAAAGGTTTTTTTTTTCTCTAAGATAGCGAGAAGTACCTGTATTCTGAAATTAATACGACTTAAATGGTGCGTTGTTCAGAAGCGACTGGGAAGAGTCAGTGTTTTGTGTCTTTGTTTAGAGAACTATGTCCTTTTTAATGCAGTTAATCGTCAACTTACATGCTGCCCGTTTTTTCATCATTTTAACCAGTGAAGGTTAACATCTCAGATGTTAAATGTGTCTAGACATCTTAAACGACTCTAGCATAAAAACGGCCAAAATTAAAACATCTAATATTGACAACCTTACAGTTTGCCTTCATTACGATGTACAGCGTCTTTGACGGTAGCCTACATGGCAGCAGAATAACGATCAGATCGTTCATGCTTCAGGCATTTTTCCTGACCTTTTCTTCCTAATGTAAATTAGGGAAGAAATCTTATACTCTTCACACGCAGAAAAGATACTTAACTTGTGTATACTGTGCAAAATTATTGACGACATAGGATACTTTATAAAATAACTAAGATAGTACGAGCGTTCTGATTGGCTAAAAACCTATGGTTTATTGTGCCGGTAAACTCATAGAAACCTTAAAGCAATAGACTACACTTTCCATAGGTTTTACCGACGTGATAACCCACTTGTGATGTTGGGAGAACACTCGAAAAGATTGTAAATCACCAGCCGAAGGCGAGTGATTTACAAGCTTTTCTCGTGTTCTCCCAACATCCCAAGTGGGTTATCACTGCGGTAAACCCATAGAAAGTGTGGTCTATTGCTTAAATAACATATGGATGCAGTGATGGTTACGTGACAAAACCCTCGAGGGAAAGCGTGACGATGTATGCAATGTTAATCCACTTGAAGGGCAAGTGCTCTGGCCATGAGGCGGTCTGTCATGGGAGCCTTTTCCTTTTTTGCCTTTCTTTCGGCTAACAAACATCTGAAATATTCAAGGGATATTTAACTAAGTCATTGATTCACCTGTCGTCAAGCTGCTCTCAAAGAGCTTTGATTTCTACCCCAGGGATGGTTTAATGAGAAGAATGAAAAGACTTCTTCTAAGCAACGTTAAAAAAAGTAATAAAAAGACAAAGAATTTTTTCGAACTTTAGTTTTAAATGGCGACAAACAGTTACTCTTTATTTGTCAAAAATATTTAAAAGAGTTCTTTAGGGATCGAGACTCTTCAAAAGTGCTGTTTTGCGATATATTGCATTGCTTTTAAGTGTTTTGATTATCAAATAAAACATTCTTTCTGGTGCTGTAAATATATCGCTTTTTGAACAACTTTCTCTTCTGTGCAGTTGCCTCATTCCATTCTAACCTCACGCACATTGAAATCGCAGTGCGCAAGGGGCCATGATAAGCTCATTGTTTCCCGCGAGTTATGGTCAGTTTTCTTCTTCCCGCCCTCTGCGCATTTCAGAGATGAAATATGGTGCCTTACGCTTAAGACTGACTTGATTTTTCCATGCGTCTAGCATATTTACCGCGAGTCGTAATCAAGGTCAATAAAAGTAACATATAGTTTATAGAAAACACCAAGCTCGCGTTTTACCTTACAAACTGGTGATCTTGTTTACGCTGTGACTGCAATCCAGCGTGGATCAAAAACAGCTCGTAGACATCGCGCTAAAGAAGGTATATTGAAATTTCATTTAACCGGAGCATTACAATCCCGCTCCCCTCCTCCCCCGCCCCCGCCCCGGGATTACAATCAACAGTTTTCAAACTACACAGTCTGAGAAGTGAAGAAACTTGATGGTAGGGGAGACATCAGAAATGGTTCCGTTCCCTGTTTGAGTAGCCTCTCTTGAGTTGATTCATTTATTTTTGATAGTTCAAGAGTGCTCAACGACCAATACTTCGAAAACGGTTCATTTTGTTTGAGAACAACAAACTGACATCTTTAAAGCGCTTTTGGTCAATAATCAATAACTTTCGTGGGCAAAAATTGCCGCTGGACTAAGTCCAGAGGATACCTTTTGCCGGTAAGTAAATACATTGAGGTCCATAACTGGGAGACTACACGTCATCCTTTTATAAACAAAATCTTAGGCACTTCACAAGCAATGATTCTGCTTAAAAAAGTTACATATTGGCGTATAAAAAATGTGCACAAGAGAAAATACATATCTGTTAACGAAATGCATGCACACACTAACTGGGACTTTTGACGAGATCGTCACCCCAGGAAGGAACTTCACGCCAGGAAGGAAACTGGGAAACGCATCAACCACGTTGATAAAATTAGGAGGTTGACTTTTCGATCGAGTTCTAGAACTTCCAGGGGAGGGAGGAACCTCTTTATTTGAAGAGATCGTTCGTAGGGAGACTGGGAAGAGGGAAAAAATAAGGCGCGCAGAGGACCACCCCGCACTCAGCATAATTTAATTACTACTATTTTTATTAGAATCCCCAACGGACAACTCTGCGGAGAAGAGATTCTCAAGGTCTTGAGTCTCAATGAATAGGGCATACAATTTCGCTTCCCCAGTTTTAAGGGGTCATTTAGTCGTTCGAATCAATTGTATGATCGATGTGCTATAGTAAGTGGTGCAAATTATCTAAAACTCCGAGATCTACTGCTTTTTTTTTTAGTGTAACGCTGGCGCTGAGGAAGGCTAATTTTGTTAGCCGAAATATTGGCCTATAATAAATCAGCCTTTTTCCGTACCGCCAGCCTTGCGTTCAGTTTTGTTTTAATTCCTACTTCAAGTGAAATCTGGCATTGACGTCCACTGCACGACTACGATGTGAAACCTCCTAATTTGACGCTTTATGGAGGACGTGGACATACGACGACGAATTTCCCTCCATCTTTTTGAGCCTGAATAAAATCCTTAATAATTCAACACCAGGAAAAGTCGCCTACATTTGACATATCGAGCGGGTCCAAATAGACGCGATTAAGTTTGTAAGAACGCAAATTCATTTTTTACCGACGTTTTCACTGCCGTCGTCGTCCTTGCTTAAGGTCCCTAATAATTTACGCGTTGAGTGGACTACTGCATTCAAGGGCTTTTGCATGATCTAGCCCTTGTTAACGTCTTCCCTCAAGGGATAAGACCTTACACAGTATCATTACACCTCTAAAGAACAATCAACATTTTCTCACCTGCGCTCGACTCCCACCTAACAGGTTGATTTTGTAACGCAAAGGTTTCAATATCTCCACCGCCTTGTCAAAATTGCCCTGCAAAGACGATTAATATGTTACTGTTACCATGTTTTGAGGAGGTTGAAAGAGCCTGAAAAATGACGTAAAATGCACCCCCCCTCCCACCTTAAGAAATTCAGCGGTACCTCGATATGGCCATATGGATTCTCCATATGAAGATCACAAGCTCTCGAGGGGTAGGGGAGGGGGGTTGGGGCAGCATTTCGATTTTTTCCGTCCCCAACCCCCTCCCCACGAGAGCTTACTTTTAGACTAGTTAGAAGCCCAACTCGTTTTCGTCTCCAGAATTTCATCTCGTCAATACAAAAAGCAGTGTGAACGGGTTGAAAAGCGAGAAAAGCAATCAATCTGAGCTTTAATATTGTTAAAAGTCCACGGAATAACAGTTCATATAAATGATACTTGTCCTCACAAAGTTTAGAGAGGCTTATTAGAATAATGTGGCGCGGGACGATAGCTCGCTCAAGTCAAAGAGTTTAGGCCCAACGGCGATCGTATGGACGGGGCTCAATTGTGTAGTTGAATAAGCACACATGTCAAATTTACAGAAACGGAAACGATTCGTCAAAACGCCCATGTCAACCGTACCCATGATAAAGATTACGCTTTGTCAAAGAATCATTTCGATTCGTACGATTGGTACGAATGACAAGCGCTTCAGTCGATTGGTATATCACTGGTTTAACAGCATACTATTAGCGGCACAGGTCGCCCCAACAAATGCGCAGTGACCCAAAGGGAGACTCCAGCTCATTAACAACTGAAACTGAAAGCCGCGAAAGATCGATACATGGCGACTGCTACCACTCGTACGAATGGTACGAGCGGTCGTATATTTGTTTGTACCAGCGACAAAAAAAGTCAGTCAGTTGATTCGTCTTTATTGGCATTATTACAATAAAAGGACATTACAATAAAAAAAAAGTATATAAAATATAACAATAAAAAGGTAAAAAGTATAAAATTGCTACTATAACTAACTAATTAAACACTACTAATTGCAGAAAACGTGACTAAAAATGAAAGATTTTTTGCATCGATTGGTCTTGCACAAAGGTAAGGCAAAGTTCCGATTCCTCCTTAGAAAGTAATTTGCTGGATTCTTGGAAGGAAGGAGTTTGTGAAGAGTGTGCCCGGGGTCACCCACGACTTCATTGAAGAGCTTTGATGAAATCTCTTCTCTCTCTTCTCTCGATTCATCTATTCGCATTATCCTGTGACTTTATGCGTCAACTTGGAGCAAATATTGTCTTTCTTTTAAACTTGCCAAATATCATTATCAAACAGATTAATTTTTCTACTTTCGAAAAATAAAAATCTCTCCATACCTTATCAGCCTCGACAAAAGCTTCACACACAGGGACACCAACTTCCCGCGAGACTTCACAGTTTGAACCTGAACTATCGCTGGTGAAACAAAGCAAACCATTCGTCAATTGCATCGGAAAGGTATTAAAGCCTAAATCTACTGATCGTCTGTTTATATACATAAATTTAATTGTTTTTTGGGGGAGGGGTAGGATGGAGGGGAGAATGATGACTTCTCGGTGCGCGCAATTATAGGTGGGCAAACTATTTATACGAAGTGTAACAAACGTGCTATAAAAGGAATGGAATAGTTCTTAGGCTAAGCCAGTATTTTATTAGGTAATTAAGTCATATTTATCTTTAAAGGTGGATTTTTTCATAAGCCTTATTGGCTTCCATGGGCTCCCTTGCCTCATCTTTCTAAATTCTGTGTATATATTAAATGTAAATGGAAAAATGATAATAAAACAAACACAAAAACTTGTGGGCCGAAGCCCGAAACCCTTCTTGATGTCGTTCACAGAAATGTTAGAAGACGAGGTCAGCAAAATTGAAACGGGTTGAAACGCAGTTTGGTTAACTCCATATAGAAGCTCAGTCTTAATAAGCGACTCAATTACTTAAAGTAGGGATGAGTTAGGTGGGGTGGGAGTAGCTACTGGCAATTTGCGGTCGCGCGTATGCCTGAACCGGCGTTGCAACGAAGTGCACTGCATTGTGGGATTGTTTTGAGACGCTACCGCTTCTTCCATTGGCTAATACGAGGTTAGGCGGGGAACTGGGTCGAAACTCACTGAAACAATCCCAGAGTGCAACTCACCACCACCGACCCAGACGCAAACGCAACCTAACGGCCTGTCATATCCAGGATTATACCATACCTAACGTATGTCTTTAACGAATTCAACAGCTTCATAGTCAGCTCTTCATTCTTAGCTCCCAGTGTACTCATCATCATGTGTGAGTCTGTAAAAGCCTGTACAGCAAAGGACTGGTGTTACTTCCGTCAGACCCCAGTTGTTAAAAAGGTAAATAACGCAATCCACTGGATAGCGGAATTTCTTTCCCTAATATTTATCCGCTAGATAGTGAATTCTCCGCAGTATATCGGTTTCCCACGACACAAAAAACAACTGGGTACTGAGGACACTGAGACGAGGACAACAGGCGATGAAACCCTCCCCACCCCAAGCACTTTCTACTCTATTTCAAAGCAACCGTGCAAATTCTTTGTCTTAACTTTTTTTGTCACTCCAGTTCAAATTCAAAGTCCATCTCCGTATATCAATCAAGCTTTGTTGGTTAATTCCTTTTCCAAAATATCAATCTTTTTTTCCTGCTGTCCTTGAAGTAAAGTGTGCATGATAGTTGCATTCCCTGCTCATCCATTTGCTTATTTGCTTATTTCCGGTTACTTGCTTCAAACTCCCGCTAACTTGAACCTTTTTCGATTTCCCTAGAAGGTTCGAGTTATCAAGAGTCGACTGTACTATCAACTCTAAATATATTCTGCACTCACCAAAAAATGATCATCCGCATGGCTTTCCCAATATCGACACAGCTGTTGCCATCTGTCGCCAACATCAACCCCTAAACAATAGAGAAAAAGAACTGTACAGTACCGCAAATGATCCCCGACCAAGACCGCAAGTGATCCCCAATATGGACCGCAAATGATCCCCGAACGAGACCGCAAGTGATTCCCAAAATGGACCGCAAATAATCCCCGACCGAGACCGCAAATGACCGCAAATCCCCAAACGAGCCCCACAATGGATCAATAATCCCCGACCCCAAGTGATGCCCAAAATGGATTAATCCCTGACCGAGACCGCATGAGACCGGATTGCAAATGATCCCTGACCGAGACCGCAAAATAGCCCAAAAAATGGACCGCAAATGATCCCCGACCAAGACCGCAAGTGACCCCCAAAATGGACAGCAAATGATCGTTACTGTCGACCGCAAATTATTCCGAGAGGAAAATCATAATGGCTTGGACAGAAGTTACTGTATTACAGTATCACGGTATATTATCATAATACAAAATGTAAGACTAACCTTCAAAGGTTAATCGGTACAACAGAGAAGAACCATCCGACAACTGAAACGTCTTCTGGGCACCGCATCTCGGCAAAATCTGTAAACAAAACACTGAATTGTTTCAAACAGCATTTAACACAGGTACTCCCCCTCGGTACTGATTACTACTTCGTGTACAATGGTTCTAAATTTGTAGAAATTGCCTGTGGACTTTAAAGAAAAGAAGATCGCTTCTGAAAAATCGTCATTCAACTCCACGATTCTTAGGGGAAGGGGCAGCCATGCACAGGCTATTGAATTATCAGTGACATAGTTTATTATACGGTACAGGGCAGGTCTAACTTAAACTGTAAGTCGGGATAAAATCCTCAAGTGTCACCAACGACTATTCAAATGAAAGTTATTGAGCACTTCTCTATACGTTCTAAACGAGCTTTTAAGTCAGTGGATTAGCAGAACTTACCTCATTATCATATATATTTAAAGCACCTTCATAATCTCCCTGGTGAAGAAATAACCAAACAAAGCAACGGTATATTCAGCACTTGAAGAGCTAATATTTTTTTGGAGGGAGGGGTGGGTAGGGCGGCAGGAGGAGATGTCCTTCAAGATAATTGAAGGTTGTGTGGGTATCAATTCTGTAGGGAGAACTCTAGGTTCTTTTCTTCTGCCTCGCCTATGTTACGGACTAAACAGAAACATCTGATTCACACACGTATTACAAAATTTATGACATGCGTTCGAATCCCACAGCTTCCACTACGTTTCAAGTAAGGTGCGCTGGCAGGGAACATACGATTCAGGTGAAGACAGATTTACTGAAACTAGCACAAAGATCAAAGCACACAAATCAAACCCCTAATATGAGGACATTTTTATGATACTTGGAGACCAATCTAACTATTTGGGTACGAGACGACGATCCTCTTTGCCTTTTCGGCTTTTAAACGCCTGCCACTCCCTTCGCGCCTTTCAGACAACCAAAATTCCCTTTTTACTCCCTTTCAAACTCAACGCCATGTATTGTAACACATCTCCACTTAAAATAGCCTCCACACAGAGGTTTGTAGAACTTGTCTGCGCGCAAGGGAGGGCTACACACAGGAAAGAGGCATAGAATTTCATCTCGTTTAAAGTGAAGTTTGAAATGCACTAGCCGTTTAGCCTGAAACTCTACAAAATATCTGTACCTTTTCGATATAATACAGAGCCCAATGCCAGAAATTGTGACTGGATAGAGACTCACAGGACTGTAAAGAAAATTAAATAAAATAGTCATCATAAAATTTCTCTTCTAAATGTAAAACCTTTTTTTCAGATGACCGAGAGGGATAAATTTAAAAAAAAATAATGATTTTACAACTTATCATCCATCAATTTCGGGCGCACCCGCATCGATTTGATTAGTCTATCCCACCCCCGTTTGTAGCCCACGACAGATGCAAGATCCTGCCTCATAAGACCGGTGTCACTCTCTAGTTGGTCAATGAATGTTATTACTGGTCGCCCACTTGAGCGTCTGCCGTGTTTTGGTTCCCAAAGAAATAGTTAGGAAACAGTCTCATTCTTGCTTCACCAAAAGTGGCCACTAAACTGCAGCCAACGTATCTGAAGACTTGTTGAAAAACAACTTATAATAGATGTGTGAAGTTTACCAAGATGCATCTCTTAATGTTGGCCTACAGCTGTATTTTATAATGTACCTCACAAGACAGCTGATAAACCTAAAGTTTAAAATATACTGATTTTCACAAGAACTGACACGTACCACCCAATCATCTTGAGTTTTGCTCATAAATTCAATCCCCTCATCTTGCCGTCCCTCCATCTCCATAACATGAGCTAAGGCGTGAGTAGCCCAACAGTCCTTGGGAATCATCTCTAGTCCCTGAAGAGAAAAAAACCGGGGGATTAAAGCTGCCCCCTCCACAGGCCTTCCCAAGAATAAGTGGGGCTTGGGAAACACGCGAGCAGGCAAGACAAGCCGAGGGACGAGGCAGGGATTAAAGAAAATTTGTAACGATATTATAAACATCAACCAATACCCAACATAGTCCATTTTAGCACAGTCAAACACTGTTATTGCAGAGACTCAGTTAACCATGGAAAGTGTTTTTATCAACGGGGTGTCCGTATTAAACGGGTTGAATTTAGAAAAAAAGGTAAGGGCTTTCTTTCTCCAGGGACAAAGCAACTGTCTGTAATAATGAGGCGTTCGTATTAGCAGGTGTCCGCTAAGTTGGGTGTGATTATATTATAATAGCTTAATACCGTACTGTGGCTATACCAGTATGTCCATGTCACACAGACAGCTAACAGCTGTCCACACCCAACTAGTCAATATTTATCCACTTACGCACTCTCAAGGACATTTACAGACTTTGAAATACCTCTCTAGCAGTTACATACCCTGCGAGCAGAGGCTACAATTTCGCTGTGTGAGCTGTCGTGCGAAAAGTAGCCTCAGCAGACTTGCAACAGTTTAAATCCGTCCAGAAATCTGGACGAATAAATTAAAAAAGCGGTTTTTTTCCTGTTCTTGATCGGTTTAGACCATTCCGCGAGCCTTGCGTAGCAGATCAGAGTTCTCGCAATTTTTTTCTTTCCGCAAAACTCGCAGCATTTGACGACAGACCTGACGACAAAATTTTGCTTGCGAATAGCGTGACGAATTTCGCACATGCACGATAGAAAATTGAACGGTTGTCGGTTGAGGCTACTTTTCGCACGCCAGCTCACACAGCGAAAATGTAGCTTCTGGTCGCAGGGTAGCAGTTACATTGTTCCCAGAAAGACAGGAGCCATAAAATCATAAGTTGTATAAATTTGTGCTGCATGGTTGAAAAGAAAAACTTCATTGCATATGTTTTACCCTCCATTGGATCAAATTATTTTAAAAATCACTGCATACACTGTTACCTTACGAGCTTGCTTCTCTGCTTCTCTATAGAAATTTGTCTCTTCTAATCCAAATGCATGCATGCCATAGAGATACCTACAAGATAAAAATAAAAAAATGTTTAGGAACAGTCTTTTTCATGGTATTAAGTAATGATAGTGGTGAGCAAGTACACCATAAAAGTACAACAGAGTGCTCTCTCCAGAGTTAAAGGTTTTGTGGTCTCATTAGAGTGGAGCTCTAGCACATAAAAAACTTTGATAAATATTATCTCTGCATCCCAACTGAAAAGTTCGGTTAGTGTGTTCGCTTACTCGGGAAACAAAAATCTCTACTATGTGTTCCCCTACCTGGAAAACCCATATCCCTAGTCATATGTGTTCCCCTACTTCGGAAACACACATCCCTAGTGAGATCTGTTCCCCTACCTGGGAAACTCATATCCCTAGTGATACGTGTTCCCCGACGTGGGAAACACATATCCCTAGTGATATGTGTTCCCCTACCTGGGAAACACATATCCCTAATGATATGAGTTCCCCTACCTGGGAAACACATATCCCTAGTGATATGAGTTCCCCTACCTGGGAAACACATATCCCTAGTGATATGAGTTCCCCTACCTGGGAAACTCATATCCCTAGTGATATGTGTTCCTCTACCTGGGAAACACATATCCTAGTGATATGTGTTTCCCTACACAGGAAATACTATATGTGTTTTTTCAGGTAGGGCAACACATACAGCTAGGAATTGTTGCCCGCTAGGGAAAACACTTTCCACTAGTGATATGTGGTAGGGGGAACACACTGAAACACATGGGACATTTTACTCTATAAAACGTGTTACTATAGGAACGTACTGGAAGTTTGAGGACGTAGTTGTGCAAAACAACAGCAAAGAAATGTACAAAAAAGTGTCCAGCATGTGCAAAGTTGTTTTATTTTCTAATTAGACCTATTGTTTAGTTTTTTTGTCATTCGCATTGCCATAGTCATTTAGCATTGCACAATTTCATTTTTTTGTTTGAGTAAACTATAAGTATATTGACAAGAGCTTTGCTTTTAGCCCTGGCTCAAACTATCTATAGATCATAAATCCTCTATTTATCTCCTTTTCTCTTAGGCTGTATTGTCATGTAGTTCAACCGCCCACCCACCCTGTCAACTTCTAATAAACTTTAAGTCTACATGGAGATGCACCCTTTAAGTCTTATAAATTGAGAAACACATGTGTGTAATAAAAACAGCCTGATTTACCCATATAATGGCATTTCCTTTTTCCAATGTGGCAAGACTCTGGCAACACTGTCCCTTATCCGATCTTTCGGACCAAAGAATATGCTGTACTCCGTAAGAAGCTTTAAGGCAAGGATGTCTGTAGGATATTCTGCGACAATGTCATCCCAACAATCTTGTGCCTTGATAACATTTCTGAAAATGAAAGCACAAGTCAGAGTAAAAGCAGGACTTTAAACATATTGACATAATGAAATTACCTTCTGTGAAATAATTAAAAACTATATAGGGCAACAACTCCAATCTTAAAGAGGTGGGTTTAATGACAATTCCCCATGCGCTAAATGAGGGGAAAACTGCGTACCATATGCCACTACATGGTCTCTTGGGATTGTTTGGAGAAACAGCACAAGGGTCAACACAGCTAAAAAAATGCGCTTTATTTGAGCATCAATGTATTTAGCATGAAAGTACTAATTATTGGGTACACTGTTTTCATGTCTACAACTTGAGATGGGACCACCATTTAACATGGTCATCTGAGCCTGGCGCGAAGGTCAAGCCGCTTGCAGTGCAAAGGGAGTACTTTCATTTCTCAGTTAGTAATGCATATGGCCCTGCTCTGGGAATCAAACCCGCGACCTCCAGCTCTGCTGCAGTCAAGCCCTCTACTGACTGAGCTAATCCTGCTGTAGCACACTACAAATAGTACAAACACAATAATACTGCAATAATACCAGTAGTTTCAGAAATGCAACTTATCTTCAATAAAATATCAAAGAATTCCAAAAAACCCTGATGCACTGTCAGGTATGTCTTTTTCAGTCAGAATAACCTTGAGGGCATCTATCAGGTGGCATGCTGCTGTCAGCAATGTTTTTGCTGTCCCTCCAAACAATCCCTTATTAGAGCCTTATGCAGTGATAAGTCATACCAGTTCCGCACTTGTTTAAAACAGAGCAAACTGAATAACCGGAATGATACCCCGACTGGAGATGAACTCTGGGCGTGGTTCAGGCTTTATTTGACCCCTAAAAAAACACTATGAATCTAACACAACTAAGACAGCATGCAAAGAAACTAGTGTCCAATAGCTTGGGGCCTAGAAAGTAGATTCTGCTATTGGGCTAGTGAATTCTGTTCTCAACTTGCCCAATAGCAAGTCATGTTTTTGGGGACTTCAAATTACAATTATTTTCAGGCTAGCTAGTTGAAACGAATTTTGGGCTACTAAATGCTGGACAGCTTGCCATTCAGGCAAGCTGTAACCATTCAGGCAAGCTGTAAAACTAACTTTCTTTGCACCCTGTAAGAATTAGTACAGTGTATGATTTAACCCTTTAAGTCCCAATGGTGACCAACAGCAATTTTCTCCTAACTATATCCATACATTGTCATGAGATGAGGTTATGAGAATTAATAAAATGATCACCGAAGAGAAAATACTTTGATCTTTTATCAAATTCTTGTAACTAATTCTTAAAGGAAATGTAGGGAGATCAGTTTGGAGAATTTGTATGTGGATATTGGGGCTTAAAGGGATAAATAGTTTTATATAATAGTTGTAAGAAAAAACAATACCTTGCTGACATGTGTTTTATAGCATCTACATACAGTTTCTCCCTCTCCGTCAACTCCTTTTTGGCCGATAAAGAGAAAATAGTATCCATAGAATCTTTGAGCTGAAGGGAAGTGGCTAAAACATGACCCATGACTGAAAAAAAAAATTATACCACACTTTAATTATTATTATTAACAAGAAAATCATTCTCAATGACTTGTATTATTAACAAGATTTTTTTGAAGCTCTCGTAAGCAGCCACCCTCTATTGTTTTCCCATTTGGTCGCCTCAACTGTACATTTATTTCATTAGTCTCTTGAGTTCATCATCTTGTCAATATCATTGTTATAATAACTTTTACCTCATAAAGATGAAGCTCTGACCTTGCGACCACTCTTGTAAGTGGCCAACTCTAGTGTTACAACCACCTTTGTGAAACCCCGTTTGAACTTTGAGTTAAACTTTGTACTGAAAAGGCTGTCGTAAGCGACCACTCCCAGAAGCGACCGCGACCACTTTTGCGATTACCCAAGTGTACTTTTCCTCTGTTTTTATTAAAGCTCTTATAAGTGACCACTCAGAGGCTTATTTATATACATTGTTTAAATCAACACTTTAATGAAACTGCAGACTGCACTTTAAAATGGTTCATTGACAATGATTTTGGGGTTATTAAGTGTAAAAAATTTGATGTAAAGTTGCGCCTTGTCTGTATCAGATATAAAGACACTCATTAAACATAAAAAATTTCTTTTGTTTTTCTTTTATAAATTATAAATGAGTTTTTGAAGCTCTCGTAAGCAACCACCCTTAATGTTTTCCCATGCAGTCGCTTATGAGAGCTCAGTCCTTAGTGACCAGCTCTTGTTACGACTACTTTTTCAAATTTCCATGGTGCTCGCTTATGAGAGCCTCAACTATATATACACTTATTTTTCTCATCAGGGTACATGACATAGCCAGAGACAAATTCTTGCCAAGACAATACCAGTCCAGAAGTAAAGGGGTGGGAGGATCATAGAAAAAAATAATGTCTTCTAAAAAAATATGGAGGAGGTATGGACATTTTCTGGAACTAAATTATAGGACTTAAAAAACAAAAACAATATTAAAACATAAAAAAGAGACACTTACGGAAATCAGGATCAGCCTGAAGCATCTTTGAAACTGATCCTTCCAAACCTCCAACAGTTTGATCATCAGCATGAGCAATCACCTAATATGTGCAAACAAGGGAGTCTATTAATATCCATAGGGGGATACTTCCTAGTAATAGGCTAATGGGGATGTGCCGCTGGATGGGGTAGCATTTTAACAGCTGGATTGACCATAATGGGCTGTTTTTCATTAGAGTTACTAGAATGGGATCACACCTTTTGGGATTTGGGGGATCACGAAATTCAGGTTGGCATATGGATTTATAAAAATGGGAAGAGTTCATGTCATCACAGTTAACAAGTGTGTCAATTCATTTTAGGATGGGGATCGCAAAATTACATTTCCCTAAAGTGACTAAGATGGGGTCTATATTTGGCCACAGGATAGACTATGATGGGGTAGGGGTACCGAGAGGCCAGAGGCACACACCCAGCAAAAATTAACCCAAGTAACACCACCCCCTCCTCCCCGATTAATATTCAATTTGCAACTTTTTAGGGGACTGGGCTGAGTTAGTTTTTGCAAAGACTTCTGGGTTTTTTTAACGGGGATGCACCAGTCAGCTATTGGGCAATTTGTTTTCCCTGTTTCCAGTCACAGTACCAGAAGTCTTTGCAAAATTAATGACTTGTCTCGGTTTCTTTTTCATTTCTAAAGCGGCGAATGCGACCACAAAAAGGAGTGATAATTATGTGTCAGAGCCCAAGTAACAGTTGGTCACGTGCAGTCATTCATGTCTGAATAACATTTGCCATGTTCTACCTAATTGGTAGAACACAATGCAAGATATTTACAGTCCGACTGCCCGAACCAGGGCACTTGGAAGAAGATTAATATTCAATCAGAAAGTCTTATGATGCAAACAAAGATTCTCAAGTTTTTTTGCAAACGGAACAATAAAATTCAAGGATCAACGATTCAACCATTGAAAACTTCAAACCATTTAAACTTATCTAACCTCTCGGGAAACAGCCCTCAAATCAGGAATGTTATAAGTCTGTTTGTAAAAAACTTAAGAATCTGTTGTTGACTGGTGTTGCAGTAAATTGTAAACAACATTTGCATTGCACGTCAACACGTTATTGGAGCAAAATATCAAAGAATACACTCATAAAAAAAATGATTGACTGGAGTTGTTTTGGACCAGAAAAGCAGTTCACAGCATATTGTAGACTGGCCCTTTCTTATCAAATCCAGGAAAATATATACACAGAACCTAGCTTCCTCACACCCCTCCCCTCATAGGAAATGTAGACCCCAGTAGAGTGGTCTAATTGTCTTGGGCAGTAGGGGTGGGGGGACTGTGGTGCACCATGTAGGTCTGTGACTGTGCATGTAGTACCTGGATTGAATACTCTTGTGATCTAATCCTACTGGGAATTGGTAAGACTATAGTAACTTAAATTAAATCTAGGAAATAATCAAATTAACTTGAGACAGAATCCATCAGGAAACTGAGTAATTTCAAGTTTCAATGTTAGACAAAAACCTTGTACCAGAATAATTTAAACAATATCACATTCGCTTCAATTAGTTATCTGTAATAACGCCAAAGACTATTTCTCATGGGAGCCCAGGAAAATAAATGTCAAATTTCACAAGAATTATGAAAACACAGGTAAAATTCTGAAAATTTCATGTGCAAGATGTCATTTTGTAAAATTTGACATAATTAATTTCTCGGGCTCCCATGTGAAATAGTCTTTCATGTTATTACAGATAACTAATTACATCTATAGCCCTTGAAAAATGTAAAAAAGATTGCAATATTCTTTAAATTATTCTGGTACAAGGTTTTTGTCCACTGAAAATTAAAATTACTCAATTTCCTGATGGATTCCACCTTAATATTTATTACAATATACTATTTTAATTAGATTATTTTTGACACAGACCTGAGTAAGAGTTGCATCGTACATTTTTGCGGCTTCATTACTTGTAGTACCCAAGCGAAGGCCTTCCTTTCTCCAAGCCTGTAGTTTGAACAGAATCACAACTGATTAAGATTGTTGGCTGCCTTTGCACTGATCATCTCTCACAAGCGCATATATCAAGTTAGCAGCCAATATGAAAAAGAGATTAAGACGGAATCCATCAGGAAATTGAAAAATTTCAACTTTCAGAGGACAAAAACCTTGTACCAGAATAATTTAAACAATACCGCATTACTTTTTACATTTTTCAAGGGATATAGATATAATTTATTATCTGTAATAACACCAAAGACTATTTCTCATGGGAGCCCGAGAAAATATATGTCATATTTCAAAAGAATTGTAAAAACAAAGGTAAAATTCTGAAAATTTCATGAGTAAGCTGTCATTTTGTGAAATTTGACATTCGTTTTCTCAGGCTCCTAGAAGAAATTTTCTTTGGTGTTATTACAGGTAACTATAATAATTATTACATTTATATAGCCCTTGAAAAATGTAAAAAAAGAATGCGATATTACTTAAATTATCCTAGTGCAAGGTTTTTGTCCACTGAAAATTAAAATTACTCAATATCCTGATGGATTCCATCTTAATCTACAGAAAGATTTTTTTTAATAGACCAACTGAACAGAAGAGCTGAAAATCAATATTTAGGTACAGCTTTAGGTTGAGTTTTTCAGGATGAGTTGAGCATTAACATTTTGAGACGGTGATTTACATATAAGAACTGGGCGTGTTGATGAGTGCTAATGCCCCCCACATCAGTGGATGATTAAACTTGTGTTGAATTATAATACACTTTTGGCATTTAACTTCGATCTTATGGTAAATGAAGCTTTAAAGAAAAGACTCGCTTTTATTTTAATTTGTCAACTTATTTATTTTGTGCCTATTAAAAATGCACACAACAACATCAGGCAATATGTCAGCATTTCTTGATCTTCAGAAAAAATGAGGAAGTGAATGGACTGAAAGCTTCTCAGGGCAAATATAAACTCACTGAAAATCGACAGTCATAATGTATAAAATGTTGTAGTTCAAATTTATCCGCTTGGTTTAAATTATAATTTCTCTCTGTTTTAAACTCATTATCATACATAACTATACCCTAAACAAATTTAAAATAAAAATTAAACCAAGCGGATAAAATTGAACCAAGCCAAACCTAACTCAAAGAAGTTTAATAATTTTTGGGACTTTGGTTGCTTTAAATTTAATGAAGCTACAAGTTTTCCAGCAACTCAAGAACAGACCATGAAGAAAACTTTGCTACATATAATTTTCCACCCTGGTGTGCTAGATCAAAGGCATTATTCAGCAGTATTTCAGGTAATTCTTTTAGCTTGGGTTTGATGGTCAATGATTATTATAATCATAATTACGGGACGCTTCTAAGTGTTTTTAAGCACAAAAGTTACCTACATCGACATCTCTCCAATGTGAATGTGTGTAGGACATATCTCCGATGCCTCTCGACTCCCAACGATGTGTTACTCTCCAATACCTACCTTCGAATGGTCGTGACCCAGCGCGCGCAAGGTACATATGCACAGCGGGAATTTGCGGAGGACTGGAACACAGTCACGCAGTCCACAGTCACACAATAAACTAAGAATAATTTGATCCTTCCGGTTTCAGACCCTGAGAAATGGTCATACAACCAAAAAAAGACAGGAAGAAAAACACTTTGGGGTTTTAACATTTAAAACAGGGTAGACTATGAAGATGAAGCTGGTGCGTGCTGTATTTTGTATGTCAGTGGCGACAGAAAAAGTACTCGGGGGTAACAAACCCGCTCGCTACGCATTATAAAAGCAGCAGTTCTCTTATCCGAGGAATTATCCTTTCATTTTCTCTTGTTCAAATCTGTCCGGTAGAAGTGGCTTTATTTATTTATTTATTTATTTATTATTTTGCCACACAAAATGAATAACAAGCAGAATAAAAACGATAATAAATAGGTTAATTAACATTAAATATAAAATTTGTACATTACTTGGGAGGAGTGACTGTGGCAGAGAAATCTCCGAGAAGCCGAGCTTATGAGGAATAGAGATTTCCCCCGATATCCCTCGCTTTTACGAGGCAAGGCGCTCTTGGAAAATTGCGTGGTTCTTCAATTCTTCGATGTGGCATCTTAAAAGACTCAAGAAGCACTTCAAGCAATAGACCGATCGGAAAACAATAGAGTAGACCCTAGTCCTGCGCATTCTCGTCCCAAGTTCAAAAGAAACGACGGGCTCAGGGGACGAGAATGTAGGCTGCGTTAGGTTGGGGAGGTCAGGGAATATTTAGTGAAGTGGTTTCCATACCCCTCCGCTATTCCCCCCCACCCTCCATCCTATTGTAGGTCAACAGAGTCAAATCTCCTGGATGAAACTATTACAATGGGCTGAAATTACTTTCTTAATTAGCCTTCAAACTCAGTAGAGTGGCTTTCACGCATCCACTCTCTTCAACACAACCCGCCCCCATCTTCGCACGCGCTCCTTTCCGTTCCCAGTTGTCGCTTCCACGTTGTCGCCTTCATTTAGTCTCTATATAAGTTTTGAGGTGCATAGGAGTAGAACTAGAAGCTTCGTGTTTTTTCTATAAATGTTGCCGCACGTGAAATGATAGAGAGCAAGAAACGAGAGCCTCGTAATTTCCTGTTATTCTTTGAAAGTCAGTCTTTGATATGATAAGTAAAGTGAGACATCTGTTAAATGGAAAATTTATCCGATTGTGCTACCACTTAAAAGGTTATCGTCTAACTTTCTTAAGATCCTGCTCATGATACAAGTCCACTATAACAATGCAATCTTAACGTAAAATCTGTGCACGTGGTAAACAATTCGCCTGAAATTCTGTTTCGTCCAGTGTTGTTCAGCAGTTAATTATGATATTCACTTATGGTTGTGCATTTTTAACCCTTAAAGACACTGATAATGTACTTTTTTGCCATTTAAGAAATTAAGCAGTAAAAAAAATATTTTGTTAAAGCTCTTTATCCAGCAGTTCCAAGAAGCTGGTCCGGGCATGCAAGCTAATACATCAACAGCTGTCGATTGCACACACCCCTGAAGGTCAATCGTGATTAACAGTGGAGATAGAAAACTTCGGGTGTCGGTACCTTTCGTCTCATTCATCGCCAGCCTGTGTAGCAGTTGGAAGGCTGAACTTAAAAAGCTACGGGTCTTTCCCGAAGATCTTCGAGCAGTTACTAAGGAGAAAGCAAAGGGGGATAATTAAGCAATGCCTGCTTTTAGCCAGTATTGATGACTATGAAATCAAAGGTATAGTTGACAATGGGAACGGTTGCTTTTCATTATAATTCAATTGATGCAGTGGTCGAGCCATTGCGTCAGTCATAAGCCAGCCTTGATTGCTCTACTTGATTGTTATATATCACGATCTCAATGTTCAATTAGGGTAGCCCAGGATAGCCTATTCAGAGTGAAAGCTGTTTGTAAATAAGCATACTCGTCTCGATCGCCTAAGTAGTTTTACAGATAGAGTCGATCCACTATGTGGTGTGGGATAATCGGACCGATTGGGGCGATCCCAATCCCACCTCCTTCCTCCTTCCTCCCCCCTCCCACCTCCTTTCGCAATTGCCCGCTATATGCGGATTATAGAACTGAGGTCTAGACGGATGATCAGGTCATTGTGAAAATAACAGTAGATGATCATATGGAAACCTATCTGAAGCGATATGGTCAAAGTGGGAATTCGAAGATCTAACTGCAGAGGTATCCCACGGGCCATTATTTCCCCCAAATTCGGCTGATTATTAGTTAGCAAAGGAGAGGATTATTCACCATTTATTAGGGTGTAACCCCCTAAGCCCTCTCCACGTTCCATGCAAAACGGACAAGTACCTGAGCTAAAACAACTCCGGCCTCTTTTTTGCCCTTCTTCATTGCAATAAGCGAGACCAGGAGCCTATTAGCGCGCCAAGAGCAAGCCTTTAAATTGAACTTCGCACGAGTACGAGATTTCATATGATCATGCATGAGTACAAGTCTTCATACCAAAACTTATCACATCGATCTTATCCCTGACTTAATAGCTGATTTGCTATAGTCGAGGAAAAGCAAAGAAGAGTCAGATCGGGGGATGATCATGAAATTATCGCCAAATTCCAAAGTTGTATTCGTAATCACTGATGATTATCTTGCTCGTACTGCGCGCTGAGACATCATTAGTAGGCCGTCAACGCAATTATGTAAAAACCAGTGGATCGCCTGGTTCGAATAGCCATTAGGCACCAGGTGGTTGAGGCATTAAACTGGGACAGATCATCTTTTTTAAAGGGATGTGTTCAAGGAAATATACGTGAACTTCAGCTTTTTTTTCTTGGGTTTGACGCCCCCTTTCCTAAAAAAAAAAAAAAAAAAAATCTGGAAACCAATAAGTCATTGACGTTCGAATTAAAGAGAAAAAGACCCCCCAAAAATCCAACTTCCATTTTGTAACATGCCGAAAAACGAATAACTACTGTGTTAAAGTGGTGCCTGCGCCTAAGATATGTTTCATTTGAATGGTCCCACAACAAGATTTCACCCAGTGATCCACCAATACCATTTGATGAGCTCCTGCCAATACTATACCCTGCGAGCAGAGGCCCTTCGATCTTCCTAGATAAGTCGGGAAACTATTAACGACCCACCAGACAAAAAACTTCCTGATTCGCTCTGGAAATGAAAAGGGTTAACTTAGAATCTATTTTTCAGTTTCCTCAATGACACAACCTATAATTATGTTTTAGGTGATCCTCGTGTTGTGTCTTCACGCACGGAAAACTGAATTGGCGAAATATCCGGTAATTTTTCGAGGCGGGGGGCTAGTTTAGTTAATTCGAATTGACCTCAGTTAGGTCAAGACCAACTTCGCGGGAGTGACATTCTCAAGACTCATTTTGCCGGTTATGTACTTGGCATGCTTTTTCATGTTGTTTAATAGTGTATTTCATTCAAGTTTCAGCTTAGTTCTGGCGTGGGCTAGTCTGCTACAAAGCCGTTTTCAGTGTCGTCACGCAACGCTCCTCCCCACTAACTAGTGGGGAGGAACGT